TGTCATCCCGGACTACATATCCCATCATCCATTGCACTGATTGCACACAGCTGTAACCAATCACACATTCACTATATAACAGTAGATAGCTACTTTTTGGAGCCAGTTCCCTGTCCTTGTTTAAGTATTTAGTTCTAGTTTCCATAGTCTAGTCATAGTCTTGTCTTGCCTGCTTTCCGGTGTTATCTGATTATTGCCTGTTTATCTTGAGTTAACCCTTTGCCTGCTGTTTCGGACTGTGTTTGCACCTTGCCTGGACTCTAGCTCGTGTTATTGGATAACCCCTCATGTCAAGCCCTCTGAATATTGTTAGCCGCTTATCGACCACGCCCGTTTTGGATTACTCTGCTGTCTTGCCCTCAATATACCCGTTTGCCAATGTTTGATTTATGCCTGTTTCTGACCACATCTCCAGAATAAAGCGTTGCACATGGATCCGCACGTCTCGCTTCTCGTCAGCCCCGTAACCCCGTAACAATGATTCGATATATTATTTTATATAAAATGTCCATGAAGTGGTATTACCATTCTATATAATGTATCTATATATCTATACATATTGTCATATTAATTTGTTCTTGTGGCAAGCTATGTGCCAAAGTCATATTCCAATTTGAAACCCCATAAAATTATATGCTTGAATATATGTTATTTTACGACAAACAATTGGAAAATTGGTCAGATTTAAATGAAATATTATCATATTTCCCTAATAGTGCTAAATTTGATCATTTTGTCAATATCAGTAATTTTTAAAGAACAAGGCGAAAGTGTGTTTATGATCAATCCCCCAAACATTTGATATCCCTAAAAAGCCCTGAATGTGTTCTGTACAGGACATCCAAAACTGTGGCATGTATGGTTTCAGAGAAATTCACTAAAATATAATGTCCTCTGCAGAGGACAACAGTCTATGCCTGGGTCTCAGTAGGATATGAATATTGTAATTATTCAGCACCCATAGTACAGGGCTATGTCAAAATGGTAATAGCATCTGATAGCATTACTGTAATATGATACCACCACAGCACTTTTGGGAAAAATATGCAATATCTTTGAATGTTAGTTTACTTCAGTAAGTGTAGCAAAAGAATCACAATTAACTACCATTTTCAGTTATCAATGTCAAATTACCCATCTAGGAATCAGATTTGTGAACTAGCAGTGATACTTTGGTCTTTTTTATATGCTATTACAATATTTATTAATATTATGAATTAGCCTTTAGTTTTATATTTTCAGCATTAGCCAGTTCCCTGTCCTTGTTTAAGTATTTAGTTCTAGTTTCCATAGTCTAGTCATAGTCTTGTCTTGCCTGCTTTCCGGTGTTATCTGATTATTGCCTGTTTATCTTGAGTTAACCCTTTGCCTGCTGTTTCGGACTGTGTTTGCACCTTGCCTGGACTCTAGCTCGTGTTATTGGATAACCCCTCATGTCAAGCCCTCTGAATATTGTTAGCCGCTTATCGACCACGCCCGTTTTGGATTACTCTGCTGTCTTGCCCTCAATATACCCGTTTGCCAATGTTTGATTTATGCCTGTTTCTGACCACATCTCCAGAATAAAGCGTTGCACATGGATCCGCACGTCTCGCTTCTCGTCAGCCCCGTAACAATAACAGAATGATTCGATATATTATTTTATATAAAATGTCCATGAAGTGGTATTACCATTCTATATAATGTATCTATACATTGCATATAATTGTCATATTAATTTGTTCTTGTGGCAAGCTATGTGCCAAAGTCATATTCCAATTTGAAACCCCATAAAATTATATGCTTGAATATATGTTATTTTACGACAAACAATTGGAAAATTGGTCAGATTTAAATGAAATATTATCATATTTCCCTAATAGTGCTAAATTTGATCATTTTGTCAATATCAGTAATTTTTAAAGAACAAGGCGAAAGTGTGTTTATGATCAATCCCCCAAACATTTGATATCCCTAAAAAGCCCTGAATGTGTTCTGTACAGGACATCCAAAACTGTGGCATGTATGGTTTCAGAGAAATTCACTAAAATATAATGTCCTCTGCAGAGGACAACAGTCTATGCCTGGGTCTCAGTAGGATATGAATATTGTAATTATTCAGCACCCATAGTACAGGGCTATGTCAAAATGGTAATAGCATCTGATAGCATTACTGTAATATGATACCACCACAGCACTTTTGAGAAAAATATGCAATATCTTTGAATGTTAGTTTACTTCAGTAAGTGTAGCAAAAGAATCACAATTAACTACCATTTTCAGTTATCAATGTCAAATTACCCATCTAGGAATCAGATTTGTGAACTAGCAGTGATACTGGTATTTTTTATATGCTATTACAATATTTATTAATATGATAAATTAGCCTTTAGTTTTATATTTTCAGCATTCAATGTAATTTTAGTTAGGGTTAAGTGTCTTTAGTTTTAGTAATTTTGTTGTGCACTTTTGTCATTTGTATTAGTTCTATATATTATATTATTATTATATTATATTATTGACATTTAAATGAGTTTTTTCATATTTATATTTAGCTTTAATTGATTAACAATGACAATAGACTCTGATAAAACTCTGACAAAAGGTATCAGAAATCTCTTGGTGGAGATTTCAAAAGGGCTTTTACCAGAAGATGGCGCCACAGTTTAATTTGCGAAAACTAGTACACCATTACATGCTTGCTAAAGTAAACATTGCATTTATTGATATTACAAGAAAATGTAATTCTATCTTACCCCACTTATTGTGTAGTGTTCACAGATTTCGCCATCTGGTTTCTAGCCGTTTTTGAGTCTCCCCTTTTCCACAACTATGGTCCTATATTTCGAGAGAGTGTGTCTTAGTCTGTTGTCTTTGAGGTATTTAACCAATATGTTCTATTTTTAGGGATCTATAACATGCTGCATTAGTCTGTTTAGTGTTTGAGTTTCATTTCCCTTGTGTACATACATGTTGTTAGTCAGTTTGATTATATTGTGGATGTTTATGTTTGGTTCATCAGTTGTGTTTGTCTGGTCAGTGTAAAGGTTAGATAGTTTGCTTGCCGGCCAGCTATCTAAGGAGTCTTGGAGGCTTATTCTATATTGAATGTTTTTCATTGAGGAATGCTGTATGTGCTTAATTTAGACTTTTTTTTATAGGTTTGGATAAGTGATCTTCAGCTCTGTTAATTGGTGTTTTACCTTGAATATTTAGCATAAACCGTCACAAAAATGCGTGTAGGGATTCATTTTATTTTCCCGTTTATGTTTGCTTGCAGGGTCTCATAATTTGCATCCATATATGAAGAGTTCATTTGCAAAAACCGATAAACGCCACTTTTTTCAAAAAAAAAAAAGAGCTGATTGCTGTGCATTATTCTCCACATATAGCGCGATCTGAACACTAAACACGTTTTGTCAAAAAAGCCGGTTTTGTCCACTTTCAAGGCATCACGAGTTCAGGTTTTACAGCAGAAGCCGACAAGCACCCTTGTTGTTTTTGAACAGAAGCCGATAAGTCCATTTTAGCGAATCAGCGCGCTGTATTCAGGTCAGGTGACAAGGCTACTTTCACTTTGAAAAGACGTGCTAGCTGAGAGGAGTTTCTTCAAAGCTGACTAAAAGTGATCGAGGATAGATCATTTCGACGAACTTGATGAACCTGTGATATCTTCATCAGGGCGAAAAAGGAAAATAAAAGCTGAAACGTTTTCACGGAACCTTGCAAAAGCAGCGCGTAACCGTGTATTGTGTGCAAACACACAAAAATGCGTGTAGAGATTCATTTTATTTTCCCGTTTATGTTTGCTTGCAGGGTCTCATAATTTGCATCCATATATGAAGAGTTCATTTGCAAAAACCGATAAACGCCACTTTATTTAAAAAAAAAAGAGCTGATTGCTGTGCATTATTCTCCACATATAGCGCGATCTGCGAATCAGCGCGCTGTATTCAGGTCAGGTGACAAGGCTACTTTCACTTTGAAAAGACGTGCTAGCTGAGAGGAGTTTCTTCAAAGCTGACTAAAAGTGATCGAGGATAGATCATTTCGACGAACTTGATGAACCTGTGATATCTTCATCAGGGCGAAAAAGGAAAATAAAAGCTGAAACGTTTTCACGGAACCTTGCAAAAGCAGCGCGTAACCGTGTATTGTGTGCAAACACATCCATACAGTTTATAATCACAACAACAACAACTGTGATTGTTCAATCACAATCACAATCCCTACCCCTAAACCTAACCTTACCCATAATTTATTCCTAAAATCAGAAGGAAATGATAGCTGATTAACAAGGGTGTAGAATCACCTAATCCTGACTGTAAGCCTAAAACTGACATTTCCTGGAAAGTTATCTCTCAATTCTGATTGGTTGATTGGAATGATGACAGGAACATGTACTTGGTCAAATCACGCCCACCCTACATTGTCATCTGATGAGACTACAAAGATTAAACGAGTGTTTTTTAAACTCTAAAGCATGAAAAGTGGAGTTATCTGCTTTTGCACAAACCCCCCCCCTGACTGTTGGCGTTATCTGCTTTTGCTATAAAACAAACTTTTTTTTTAGTTATAAAAAAACACTTTCAATTAACTTTAATTTTGTAAATTACATGTATTTGTTTAAGTTATTATTACTTAATCAAAACAACCCAACTGCAGTTTGATATGACTTGGAATGCGGCAATAAAAAAACGCGATTTCTGAAAAAAAAAACGGTTTTTGCAAATGAACTCTTCATATGTAGCTTTATGTAGGAATAAATTACATTGCAACATGTTGAGGTTGGTATGTTTATATTATAGAACATAAATACTACATTCCTCCTTTTCAAGTTACAACTTTTTCAGTTTTAGCAGAAGGAGAAAGTTCTACTGCAGTGTTTGGTGTCAGGCGTCATGTTGGGATGCAGTTACCCGTATTTTCCACTAGAGTCTGCTATTGTTCCTTTCAACCCGAATCCCCAGTCTTTACACATTCTCCAATGAGAACTGGCCGATGTGAGCTTTGAAGCCGAAATCCACAGCGCAAGTCGCCAATCAAACAACCCGGTCAGACAAACACAGAGAGAGAGAGAGAGGAAAGAGCGTGCGTCTCAGATGGATTAACAGAGACACGCTCGTGATCAGTGAACGATCTTCTGCCACTGGACCCCGGAAACGGCCTCCTGATCACCATCTATCAAAGCACAGCGATTGAGCCTGAGAATAAACGAGAAGGTCTATGACACAGGCGCTCAAGAGGCCGTGCACACGGTATGTGGTGTGCTCTTTCCTTCACTATAACCGAGAGCGCTGTTACAAACGCTTCGTCTTTATATATGACCAGCTGTTTTTGCGCAGTGACTGTACATTTTCCTAAAATCTTTGTGTTGGATTGAGCTTCTGAGAACGAAACACTAGCGATGCTCTAAATCTAACATGTAATACCTGACCGGAGCATTCAGAGGCGTTTGACCATATTATCGCCTGTTTCTATTTCAAAACTACTGACTTGACAACTTTGGGCTCCTGAGCTCAAATACATATGTATTTAAGAGACGTTTATTTAATAGGACCATCTGAGCCACAGATGGATGAAATGCGAGGAAACGTGTGGTTAGGTAAGATTATTTTTATGTTATTGTTGCTTCTGTTTTAAATAAAAAAACAGATTTGAATAGTCTTTAATAAAGACCACTTTATTTTTATTTATTTTTAATTATTTAAAAGTCAACTATAGGAGGTGAAGGTGTTGTAAAGAGAAAAGAGCATTATGGAGTCTGTTGTTATGCAATGATATTGCATGTTTCTTTTTATAAATTGTAATTTTTTTTTAAATGAATGCAGTATGAATGATATTGCATGTTTTTATTTGTATTTTTTTAATTAAAAAATGTCTCCATATGACATCAAGTTATGGTCATTACAATTATATATAAACAAATATAATTTACAATAAAATAAATTACGGTTATGCTAAATCAGAAAATTAAAATGTCTTGTTAGAATACATTATTTTTAGTTTTAAGAATTTATATAGGCTATTGTTTAATAACAAGCCTTGTTTATAACTATAGAAAAAATAAGAACTCAAATCTTCCCAAAAAGACTGCGTGTGCTTGCACTCATAAAACAAATAATGCAGATTTTTTTTATAATGCGTACAGTCAGCATAGCAAGCTTAATGGTGTATCTTCTCAAGCCTCGATTAATTTTATACTTTCATTATTATAGTGGCAGACAAAATGTTTACAATGAGGTTTATGCAACTCGAAGCACAGGAAAGATAGATGTTTACAATGCCATACAGTGTTTTGATGCATAAAGTGCATGTATATGACACAATGACCACAATTTGGGGTTAGTCTCTGCAAACCTGATTCAAGATTCAGCTTGTTTCTGAATCACCATGGTGTGGGGGCCGAACAAGAACTGCACTCATGTTTTGTAGTGCTTCGTGACTTAGCGAGAAAATTCATCATCTTTGATTAAAACCTTGTTTTCTTCCAGGAAGTTCCTTGTGTGTTCTTTGCATGATCAGTCTTGTATTTTAGTCTGCATTCTTTATTTCAGCATGACAATCTGGAATTAGTCGCTGACATTTACCTGTTTCAGGTCTTTCAGTGTGCAAAATATCATGTATTGTATTTCTGAAACCACCCGCGCACCTAAGACCTGTCAGACAGGGCAAGAAAGCAACGATTCATATTTTATCAGCTCTAAAATCTGTTCAAACCATGTAGAGCCAGGTAAAACTGTGGTGTCTGAAGACGTTCTTGGCTAGACGTCTCCTTTGCAACAGGTCAGATGTGCCATGCGTTTGGGTCGAGTCACCTTCCTGTGGGATTTGTGGTTTCTGAGTTTGGCCATTTTTCTAAATTGGAAGTCTGGTGTTAACAGTTTGTTTTTAATTTATTTGAAGTTTGTTTTGTATTTGTCAAATGTCAATGCTGATTTTCTTCTTTCTTTCCCACCGGATGCCAGAGAGGCTGAATGCAACCTCATTGGCTGAATGTGGGCTAGCTCACCACCATCTGCCTGTCACAGTAGAGTCGGCTAGTATAGAGGTCTTTGAACCAATATTAGGGTGGGAACGCCACAGGAAGAGAGGCGTATTGATGATGGAAGACCTCAGCATACGACGCACAAGCCCTGATCAGCTGGAACTAGCATAAGCGAACACCCTGGGCATGGAGGGAGCCGTGTGATATTTGTTGTTGGGTGGGTGTGTTGGGGGAGGGGTGTACATGGGGGACAGGGATGACAGCGGTCTCTTTGTCTTTGGCTCTCCAAGCCGTGTGAACGTGTCTGAGTTGGCCCTGCCTCACGTGACGCGGCTGCCCTCACTCCTCCCTGTCCTTTGTTCGGCCAATCTGGGAGCCACCCCTGATTGAATGGGATTATATCCCAGCAGGGGACTGATTCCGGGGGCCTGTATCTGGCTGGCCTGGGGTCCCTGTGGAACAATGCAGATCCACCCTCCATGCCACCCCTTCTGTCTTACTGCACCCCTCCGGCCAAAGCTCAGTCATGAGACTGTGCATAGGAAGCCTACGGGAGGCCGGTGCTCCTGGGAATGGAGGACAGCCCCAAAAAGGCAGTCTAGAAGGTCTAGATGCATTGATATTTGTGCAGTCCATCTGTTGGTGCCTGAGAACGCTGTTTATAAACACATCTGGTTTTTCGGAAGTGTTTTTGCATGAGATTGTTTACATGCGTAACTGTCCTGGAGCTGACTCTTACCATCTTAACCATTTTGGTCCACGTTGATCTGAAGTTTTGTTATGAACATTCACATTCGCAACAAACGTTGAGCAATAGGCCATTTTATTGGTCATGTAGTTTGTATTTCTGTGGAGTCAACTACAATGGTCTATAATTGACAGGGTTGCTTGAACGACTAGTTGACAAATTAGCCTTAAAGAAGCTCCTTATAATTTGGCTGAACTCCAGTGGCATGTATCTTAGGGGCATCAAGCAGCAATTCACTTTCAGTGTGGAAAGACAGATGACTTCCTGTAAACGTATTACATCACACCTGGTTTGAAAACAGTGTAATGTGCTGAGTCCTCTCTGTTTACACTGATCTCTATATGTACACATGTTCAGCCTAGCAGAAACTTAACAAGTGACTGGACGAGTTGCTGATGGAAGGCCTAAAACATACAGTCAGTTTGCCGCTTCCGTCTCCTCTGTTGATCTGGAAAACACATTTTGTTTATTTTACATTATTTATCCAGATGAAGATCCACAGAGATGAACAGAGGCACACAGGTTTTTGCATTTTGGGGATGGAAGATGGGGTCAAAATGTGGAGCAATGGAAGGGTCCAGGAATGTCTGTCAAACAGATGCCTTTGTGCTTCCTCTTCAGTCTTTTGTTCTGGTGCCAGTCTTCTGGCGTAGGGTTTGAGAATTTCCTACAGTTGTGTTTGTGGGCCAAGAAACAGACCCCCTGCTACTGTTGACATTACGAAGGAAAAAACGGGTCACAAATGGTCATGAACTGAAAGAAATAGTTCACCCAAAAATGAAAATTGTGTTGCAATTTACTCCCTTTCTTGTCATTCCAAACCTGTACAACTTTATTTTTCTGTGGAACACAAAAGAAGATATTTTAAAAATGCCTCATTATTATTATTATTATTATTATTATTATTATTTTATTTTTTATTATTATATATTTTTGTCCCTCAAATGAAGGTCAGTGGGGTCCAGTGGTGTTGTTTTGGACCCCACTGACTTTCATAATATGGACAAAAACTGTTACAACACTCTTAAAATATCTTTTGTGTTGTTGCGTACAGGTTTGGAATGACATGAGGGTGCGTAAATGATGACAGAAGTTTAATTTGTGTAAACTGTCGTTTTAAACCACTTAGATGAGCCATGGTCCACAATTTTACACAAAGTGGTATACTTCTAAACACCTTTGGGGTCCAGACGCTCGTGATCACAACAATTTATTCAAGTTATAACTATTATCATTCTTGCAGAAAACCAGTCATTTGACCTTAGACCTTCCCAGCAGGGCTAGATGACCGTTAAGCCCAGTGGTTGTGCATCTCTTTGGGGCGGCAGCTGTGTCATGGCACATGTGTTATGAGGCTGATCGAACTCTAAAGCCATTTGAGCAGCACTCAGCGTGTCTTCAGGTCGATTTGAATTCAGAGCTTAGCGTCTGTCCAGCTGTGAGTCCACAGGAACAGCCTCTTAATATGGCACATCAGTCTCCTTACAGGAGAGAGAACAGCTTCCCCCCACTGCAGAGGAGCTGTTGTGCTGCAGACGAACCTGCGTTGCACTGGTGACTGTGCCGAAAGAGAAAGATCATCTTGGCTCTGTCTTTTGCTGAGCAACAAAGAAAATAAGAGCCAGATGATCAGAGGCAAAGACAATCAAAATCAGAGTCACGCATGTGGCACGCATCTAGCATCTGCGACTGAACATGTGGCACTTTGATCCATATATGGTTCAAGAGCTTCATTAGTTAAATGGATCTGTTTATAGGTAATTATTTACTTAGCCATTTGTAGATACTAGAGGTGCTTCACAACACAAACAAATAAAGAAACGCACTGTAAAAACAGAAACGTGCCGCAAATGCTCACAACACAACCAAATACAGAAACGCAAGTACAGACCACAACAGGAGGACCCAACAATGCCAAAATTACTCCAACAAAACGAAAATTAACCATGCTTTCTTTTATTGATTACCATTTGTGTAACCACAGTTGTACAAATATCATGGTTAAACTATGGTTAGTGTAGTAAATCCATGGTTAATTTGTGGTTACCATGGTTTAACTATAGTAACCTTTTTATTTATTTTTTTTTTTTTACATAATAAATGTATTAATTAATTACTTTTAATAGTAAAATCGTACGGTTAATTTTTGTAAGGAAGGTTGTAAAGTAAGTTAGCCAGCTTACATGCTTTCACAGTTACAGTAATTGTGTATTTTGTCAGCTTATTTAGGCTAATAATTAAAAAAAAAAGCAAAGAAAAAAAGCAGCAGCAGCAAAGGAATCGTATGATCAGGATGTTAAAATAAACCAAAATCTCACCTTTCAGAGCAAACATTGATAAATATGTCCTTCAGCCAATTTATGAAGATGTTTTCTTAATTTGCAGGTGTTTTTTCTATTTGCATGTATTTTTTCATTTGCAGCGCATTGAGCTCTCTCTAGGCCACCGTACTTTAGCAACCTCATAACAATGCTCTGACATCCACCCACAACATTCTAGCATTGTAGAGGCGAGTTTTGCTTGCGCAGACAATTTTTCCTAATGTATACCTAGACAAGTCAATGACTTTTGAGACTTGACACTGTTTACTTAGTTATTATCTTTTTGTGAGGCACGTCAACATCTCTATGTGGAAGGTTGATGACTAATTTTTATTCTGGCTCCAGATACTGCAATATTTATCAACACTAGCTTGTGATTATTTTTCTTTCATTCTTATCTCCTAACAGAGCCTAATGAACCAGTTGTACAACTCCTAGTGCCATCCAGCTCCTTTCTGCGTTCCTCTTGTGCACTGCAGCGTCCCCTACAGGAACATGTCTGCGGCGCAGACTCAGAATGACCGGGAGAAGTGCTGGGGTTGTCTGGAATCGCTCGGCCTCAGCCAGAGGGAGCTGGTCCTAGCGGAGGCCCTGCAGATGGAGTATGACGCTCTTGCCCGCCACCGACAGGACAAGGGCCCAGCAAACACTCTACCCCCTGACACCAAGTCATCGCCCGCGAAGAGCGAGCCCTCCCTGCCTAGACGCGTTCCCAGTCCTCCTTGCAATAATTTGCAGCAGGGTGTTTCCGGATCTGACCCCATGCTCAACCACGTTCAACCCGGGGTGTCAAACTTCTCACGATCCAGCGGTGAGTCTCACGGATTTAGTAAGGAGCCTCGTTACATTCTGGATGAATGGGAAAGTGACTTCGAAGGAACGTCACAATTGCTGTCAAAAGGGCTGCCATCTCTAGATGAGCCTCCGCCACCAGTACCGCCCAGAAATCCCATCCCCCAGAACGATCCGTTCATTGTCCATCAAAGCTCAGTCCCACGGGATGTCAACTTGTTCACTCCTGAGGTGGACCAGCCCAAGCTTTCCTTCGGAGACACTCTGAACTACGATAACCTCAATGACTCCCTGAGCAAGCTAAATGGGGATTGGCTCTCACCTAATACAAGCCGGAGGGTAAATGGGGACAAATCAGGGAAGGCAGTAGCTCGCAGTAACACCCTTCCTCCTCAGATTCCTCCCCGCACTTATTTTACAGCGCAGAAGAGCACTAGAAACCAACGCAGAGTATCAGTTGATCCGGTGAGCATTCAGCATTTTTTTTTTTTTCATAATATTAATCTTTTTTTATAATTGTATTTTTTTCTATTTAACATTTTTTTAAATATGTATGCATATGCATAGGTGGAAATCTCGGTGGAGGGACAGGACCCCCCCCCCATCTGAAGGTTGTCCCCCCTAAAAATATGATTAAAAACCACGCTGTGCATTGTAAATAACAATGTTTTATACTTTAATCAATTGGAAGTAGTAAAACAACACAAACGGGGCAAAAATGCGTTTTATGTTTAGAAACATTTTGAGTCTCCCCCTCCCTTGCCTCATTTTGGTCCAAATGCCTGCTTTCGTCTTTTACATCACCTACACACACACAAGTCCGGTGAGAGAGAACAAAGCCAATAGTTGAGGAAGTCCAGTAAGTAAGGCTGTCAAGGCTAATTTCTTCACTTAAACATAGGATGAAGTGATTAGTTTCTCTTTAATATAGATGATGCCAATGTATTTTTCGATAAATCCCCTATGTTAGCAATAATAACGTTACCTGCTTGAGGGAAATGGTTGCCAGGTTTTCATAACAAAACCCGCCCAATTGCTACTCAAAACTAACCGCGTTTCGAGGGGGTCCCCCAGTAAAAATCGCGTTCTGGGGACTAAAATACACGTTATTGGGGTCGCTTCAACCCACGGACATGAAAAACAACCCAGCGCAACAGTGATAAAGTAGCCCAATTCCACGGGAAAACTGTGGACTTGGCAACACTGTGACGGATACAACGGATACAACGGACACGAGCGCTGTCATAACAGCTTGGAGTTGTCTAATTTGGCACGGTCTCCCTGCTGCACTAATAGTAGTAAGCCATTCCTCTGTGTATACATCATAGGCGCGGGAAGTGGGGGTGCTGCAGCATATTTTTTTCCCCCTGTTTTTTTTCTGTGGGCAACTGTTTAACAGTTGGGATTAAAAAAAAATTGTTGGCAAAGGCTATTACACTAACTCCATCCACCAACATGTGATTGGGCTAGTCAACATTACAAAAGACGGTCACTAGTCGTTCGCTCCAGTGGCGAAGATGGTAAAACGCGTGTGATCTACCTCTTGACGCGATCGACTCAGGTTCAAATCTGCCTTTTGGCTAACTTTTTTTCTCCCTTTTCAAATTTCAAATCAGAAAAGCATTTATTTTTTAATAAAAATGAAGGAAATAATCAAAAAGTTTAAAAATTATCGGCTAGGGTAGGTGTAGGGAGGGCTTTTGTCCCAAATTAAAATTTACACTCTAAGTTATTGCATACTGTTTTATAATGTATTACAATGCTGAGGTGCAGATAATTGCCACTATTGGCAATAAGTAATTAGCAGAATATCCTGCTATTTTAATACAGTATAAATAGCTATTTGCACTTAGTGTAAATACCATATCACAAAACAAATACTTCTATTTTCACTTAGTGTAAATAGCATCTATCGCTAAGAAAATATGCCCCCCTTGTGTCCCCTTCAAATATTGCTCTTGAGAAATGTTATGTTTAACATTGTCCCTCCCTACTGTTAGACGAAATTTACGCCCCTGTGCGTATGCATATATAAACAATTTGACATGTATGAAAAATGAAATGTTCTTTAATTAGAAATTAAATGTACAGAATATTTACATTTAGATATTTCCAGATATACATATATATTAGAATTTATATACATATATTCAAATACAACTCCGCAATTATAATTATTACATTAAATTTAAATATCTGCTGAAAGTTTATTTTACTCTCGTAATATATATATATATATATATTTTTTTTTTAGAAAAATTATATAAAATGTTTATCATAATCGTTTATAACAGTCAGATAAAGGACTATTTACTAAAAAGAAAAAAAAGGACTCTTTTAAACCCGTTTAGGTATCTCTGGGGTCCAGGCCAAATGGCTTTGGTTACGAGCTCTTTCAAGTTTCTGAAGAGAGGGATGAAGAAGTGGCGGCCTTCTGTCATATACTTGACTTGTGAGTTACTTAATTTAGTATTTCCATTCACAGTGTCTTGTCTTTCGTCTTTCGTCTTTTTTTTTAATTAATTGTTTATTTTAAAAATGCTATTTGTATGTAAAAATGTGTATAATAATTATATTTATTATTAAGAACATTATTTCACATTTATTTATGCACATCCATTACTGTTTTCACCAGGCTACGATTGGCGTACCCATGCAATGACTACTCAAAAAATGCAGGCTTTGTTTGGAGTCCATGTGTGGCACAAGATGAACTTCAGCAGAGCCTGGGGGTCAGCATAAAGGTCACGGTTTACAGTGACCACTTCAGAGAACCACTCACATTCTCTTGTGATGGTAAGAACTGAAGATCTTTCAATTGTTTATAATCTAACAATACAGATCATTTAAATATTCTATGTCAACTGTTGAGCTCGCTTATAATTGTGGAGGTGTAATTTTTTTGTTCCACATCCTGAAACTTTTGTACGGGGCAACAGGATCTCATTGGAAAGACTGGAGAGGCTCTAGACCCTGAGTTCTCTTAATAGCATTACACTGAAAGCCATCCGTTCTGCCAGCCATCTGTTTTGTGTACTCAATTAAAAGAGGCAGCTTTTCATTCACCCGCCTTGGAGGAACACACACAAACCTCCCTCATACACGCACACACACACACACACACAGTTATTGCATACTGTTTTATAATGTATTACAATGCTGAGGTGTAGATAATTGCCACTATTGGCAATAAGTAATTAGCAGAATATCCTGCTATTTTAATACAGTATAAATAGCTATTTGCACTTAGTGTAAATACCATATCACAAAACAAATACTTCTATTTTCACTTAGTGTAAATAGCATCTATCGCTAAGAAAATATGCCCCCCTTGTGTCCCCTTCAAATATTGCTCTTGAGAAATGTTATGTTTAACATTGTCCCTCCCTACTGTTAGACGAAATTTACGCCCCTGTGCGTATGCATATATAAACAATTTGACATGTATGAAAAATGAAATGTTCTTTAATTAGAAATTAAATGTACAGAATATTTACATTTAGATATTTCCAGATATACATATATATTAGAATTTATATACATATATTCAAATACAACTCCGCAATTATAATTATTACATTAAATTTAAATATCTGCTGAAAGTTTATTTTACTCTCGTAATATATATATATATATATATTTTTTTTTTAGAAAAATTATATAAAATGTTTATCATAATCGTTTATAACAGTCAGATAAAGGACTATTTACTAAAAAGAAAAAAAAGGACTCTTTTAAACCCGTTTAGGTATCTCTGGGGTCCAGGCCAAATGGCTTTGGTTACGAGCTCTTTCAAGTTTCTGAAGAGAGGGATGAAGAAGTGGCGGCCTTCTGTCATATACTTGACTTGTGAGTTACTTAATTTAGTATTTCCATTCACAGTGTCTTGTCTTTCGTCTTTCGTCTTTTTTTTTAATTAATTGTTTATTTTAAAAATGCTATTTGTATGTAAAAATGTGTATAATAATTATATTTATTATTAAGAACATTATTTCACATTTATTTATGCACATCCATTACTGTTTTCACCAGGCTACGATTGGCGTACCCATCCAATGACTACTCAAAAAATGCAGGCTTTGTTTGGAGTCCATGTGTGGCACAAGATGAACTTCAGCAGAGCCTGGGGGTCAGCATAAAGGTCACGGTTTACAGTGACCACTTCAGAGAACCACTCACATTCTCTTGTGATGGTAAGAACGGAAGATCTTTCAATTGTTTATAATCTAACAATACAGATCATTTAAATATTCTATGTCAACTGTTGAGCTCGCTTATAATTGTGGAGATGTTTATTGTCCCTCCCTACTGTTAGACGAAATTTACGCCCCTGTGCGTATGCATATATAAACAATTTGACATGTATGAAAAATGAAATGTTCTTTAATTAGAAATTAAATGTACAGAATATTTACATTTAGATATTTCCAGATATACATATATATTAGAATTTATATACATATATTCAAATACAACTCCGCAATTATAATTATTACATTAAATTTAAATATCTGCTGAAAGTTTATTTTACTCTCGTAATATATATATATATATATATTTTTTTTTTAGAAAAATTATATAAAATGTTTATCATAATCGTTTATAACAGTCAGATAAAGGACTATTTACTAAAAAGAAAAAAAAGGACTCTTTTAAACCCGTTTAGGTATCTCTGGGGTCCAGGCCAAATGGCTTTGGTTACGAGCTCTTTCAAGTTTCTGAAGAGAGGGATGAAGAAGTGGCGGCCTTCTGTCATATACTTGACTTGTGAGTTACTTAATTTAGTATTTCCATTCACAGTGTCTTGTCTTTCGTCTTTCGTCTTTTTTTTTAATTAATTGTTTATTTTAAAAATGCTATTTGTATGTAAAAATGTGTATAATAATTATATTTATTATTAAGAACATTATTTCACATTTATTTATGCACATCCATTACTGTTTTCACCAGGCTACGATTGGCGTACCCATGCAATGACTACTCAAAAAATGCAGGCTTTGTTTGGAGTCCATGTGTGGCACAAGATGAACTTCAGCAGAGCCTGGGGGTCAGCATAAAGGTCACGGTTTACAGTGACCACTTCAGAGAACCACTCACATTCTCTTGTGATGGTAAGAACTGAAGATCTTTCAATTGTTTATAATCTAACAATACAGGGTTTCTTAATTTGAAACAATATCACTCATTAGAACATGCAGAAACTAAGAAATACATTTTTCTATTTAGATATTTATTTTGTTAAGGAAAATTAATGGTCTGGTTTCTACAACTTTCACTTTGGAGCAAAAATCTGGCTTTAAACTGGAAAGAAATAAAGATGTGACATTTATCGTGATAATTATCGATATCGACTGATTATATCGTGATAAATTTTTTGACCATATTGCCCAGCCCTACTTCCAGTGTATGATGAATGCAGACTGTGGTGCCATTCTCACATGGCTCTCTGTTTGTGTCACAAGCAGCTGTGAAATCTGCTAAATGTTAGTGAAAATGATGCAGGTCAACTCAAAATAGTTCACAGGGAATGGAAAAATAGTTGGGCCTGTATAGCACTGCTCTAGGGTTGGGTAGTGATATGTACGCTGTCTGCTCAGTCAGAAAGTTGATGAAGGACAATTAAATGAATATCTTTCATACTGTACATTATAATGTTGCGGTTCCTGAATTCACTTAGATTTTTTTTTCTAATTTATTTAAAGCTGCAGTCTGTAACTTTTTTTTGTGTTCAGAATTTACAAAATTTATACAATAAGCGAGTACACCATGAATCCATTTTCTAAACCGTGTTTTTGGCTTGTCCTGAATCACTATGGTACACCAATAATAAGTGTTTATATTCTGACTATTTTAGACTGTACCCAGTACCTGCGTGATTCGTAGCTCCGGCTACAATGTTCTTCTGCAAGACGCACGCAGTTCTGTTTAATAACCGTTAGAGAGCCAAAAGTTACGGACTGCAGCTTTAATCAAAATAATTTAAAACAATAGTTGTATTATAAAAATAATATTACTAAAATAAAACATATTATAAAATCACTTTATTATAAAAAAATTGTTTTATTGACTTTGGTTTTACATTTTTGGCCAGAATTTTAATTTTGGTGCATCCCTACACCCTTTGTTATGTTTTGTTTTGTTTTGAAATATATTTACATATAAAAATTTATATAATTAATAAAATCTCAAAAAATCTGAAATTTATAGTAAAAATATAGTTTCTCACGCCATTGGTTGAGTCAACTTTGCTGTGTTAGAGTGTTCAAACAAACCACGCAAAACTGCAGTTTTTTGGGTGGAAATCAGCTGACAAATGGCTTACTTATAATTGTCTCTGCATTTTAAACTGGAATTAAGTATTTTAAAATAAAAATAATTACATCATCACCAGGAACAGTAAGAAATGGCTCAGCTCATTTTGTCAATTGAAATTGTGCGTTGCATTGCCCTCTCTGCTGTCTCAGATTGACATGAGTTTGTCTGGGTCCATTCACATAAAAAAAAAAAAGCTTATCCTCAAGATTCATAGAAATTGACTTACATTAAAAGCTACATAATTAGCCTTTATCTTTATTCTGCCAATTGACCTTATATAAAAAGGGCTTTTAGCAGCCTACTTACTCTAATCTTCTACTCACTCTGAGCTTTTTCTAGGCTAAATCATCCTTCTCCACAGAAACATGATTAGCCTGATGTTCATATTTGGCAGTGGTTCATAATCCAGGCTTCTTCTTGTGAAGTACTTGCTGTTGACAACAGGATTTTGGGATTTTTCTTTTTGGGACATCTGCATTTTGTTTTTTTAGGGGCTTCGTGTCTACCTCAAATTGGCTCACGATTTGAGTGAGTGGTTGGATTTTCTCCATAAAGTGTTATGGCCAAAAACAGCCCCCCGCTGCTTGCCAGTGTGCAGAATGTTGCTAAAAAGTTCCCATCCAATAGCATAATGAACTACATGTTACAAGGACATATTGTAATTGTAATTGACATTTGTAAGGCCGCTTGAGTTGTGGGTGGAAATGTGGTTATTCCAAGCTGAATGAAGATCTGCGGTTTGTGGTCTGAATAGCTCCTCATCATGTAACTGTGGCCCTTTAATTGTGGTTGCATAAAAACAAGCTGTGCTTATGTCTTTGGATTGCTTTAACCACATTGGGTTTCCCCATGACACGACCACCATTTTGAGGCAGACTTGACTACTAATCACTCATGTGTTCTCGTCCTGTTTTTCTTTTCTTTTTTTTCTCCTTTTTTTTTTTAAGGCCACTTGACATTTTTGTTGATACGGTTGATTTCTGTTAAAGGGCAAAACAGACAGAGCTGAGGCTGAGTTTATCTGTGCGACAAGAACCGCAGGTGTTATTCTGTTTGAATGTGTGTGTTGGTTGTTTTTGCTGTGGGTGCAGCTGTGTGGTAGGAAGTGTGTCTTTTCCTGATAATCGTGTGCTTGTGCAGAGCCATGAAAAGGAGGGACATTGTGTGTATGACTGTAAAATACATAAGCATCAGTTTCAGAACAATAACCTACTAACCGACAGTTTTCTCTGAAGGGCTGAAACAATGGCTGAAATCTCTACAGTGATGTGAACATTGAGTACATTAGGCTTATTTAGGCTGATTAAGTTTACATTTTCTTTATGTATGCAGGATAATTAACATTTTAAGTTTGTGACTTTGTATAAAGTTACATATGTGCTTAGGTATTTCAATATGCCATTGTTTGATTAAGTACAAAATATACTCACAAGTATAAGTTATCTGTATATACACATGTATATTTGTACTACTTTTTTGATCATGGTGATGTTATAACAGGGACAATACACTAGCCATTGTTACACACATACATATACAAAGTCACTAACTTAAAATGTAAATTATCCTGCATACATAAAGAAAATGTCAACTTAATCAGCCTGAATAAGCCTAAGGTACTCAATGTTCACATTGGTTGAACAGTTGTCTGTGTGTAACAATGGCTAGTGCATTGTCCCTGTTATATATATATTTTTTTTTTAAATTTATAAATCATCTGCAATTGGAAACGGCTTTCCTTCATCTCTAAGTTTGCATATGTTACAGCATCCTTGCTGAATGAAAGTATTTATTTCATTTAAAAAAAAAAAACTTGCTGACCCCAAACTTTTGAATGGTATGTATATAAATAATTTATGGACCAGTATATCTCAAGTTTGCTTTTGCCTCTTGTATTTCTGCTAAGCACTCAGACTCTGGTGAGCTTTGAGTACATCCAGCAGTGTCTGAAGTTTGACTGGGACATTCGACTCATTCTTACCAAACGGAGTTCTGTCAACATGGAGTTGGGCCGAACGGTAAGACCAAATCTGACAGCAGATGGATTAGTGACCCAACAACATGTTTTCCTCTTATTGAACAGTTGAAACTCCAGGAAACATCTGTAGGTGTTTTAGACTTCTGAACATCAACACTTAATACTTAATACCGGAAGGTATAAGTGAAATTATTATGAGCCCTATTGAATGCTAGTCATTTAAAAAAAAAAAACGCAGTTCACATTGCACTAGGCATGCAGTTCCTCGAGCTCATTTGGAAATGTCAAAAACCTTTCATTTTGAATCTAGCATCTGTGATAACTTCGTTTAGATTACAATGCATGTCATATGTCTGGAATGTAACCTTACACTTAAATGTTGCACACTCTTAAAAATAAAGGTATCAGGTTTTTGCAGCAATTACGTAGGAGAACTGTTGAGAAGACACTTTTTATGTTCTAAGGGACCTTTTGTGCATTGAGATGTTCCATGGATGTTAAAGGAATAGTCCACCCAAAAATGAAAATGGTCATTTACTCACCCTTACGGCATTCCAAAACTTTGTTCTGTGGAAAATAATGCAAGATATTTTGAAGAATGCTGGTAACCAAATGGTTTTGGTCTCATTAACATCCATAGTATGAATAAAAATGACTGTGGAAGTCAGTAGGACCTGTAGCTATTTGTTTACCAACAGTTTGGTCTTCAAAATATCATCTTTCACAGAAGAAGGAAGTGCATACATGTTTGGAATGACATCGCATTATTTTTTTGGGTGAACTGTGCTTTAGAGTTTCTTCATGGAATCATAGACTCCAACAGGGAACCAACCATTTGAGAACTTTTCAGTGTAGATGCTAAAGGTGTTTTAATTGTTAAATGTTAACATTGTGGTGATGATAATGTTGTTGCTGTTGTTGTTAAACAGACAGAGGATGATGATACTCTATCCACCATGAACCACAGTATTCTACTGCAAGAGAGGCCAATCAAACAGACTGTGACCAGGTGAGAGCGATGAAGAGGAGGTCAGAGAGTTTAGGCTGTAATATGTTAGAGAGGTTTTAATATATCCACAGTGTTTGACAATTCTTACTCTTTTGTTTGTGTGACAGGGAGGCACTGACTCTTCTCCTGGATACCTTTCACAATGAGGCTGAGTCTTTCCTTTTATCGGAGGTAAACTTTTTACAAACATTGTTTATCTGAAAATTGTTTGAAATTTGTTAAACTACAAATCAAGGTTATTATAGTTAACTAAAATGAAAAACAAAAATAGTAATAATAACTTAAACTACTTTTGTTTCAGGTAATTGCCAAAGCAACATTTCTCGTTTTCATTTAGTTTAACTTCTACAAATTACTAAAACAGAAATAAATATTAATTAAACTTATATAAACATAAACTAATAAATGACAAACACAAAATTACTAAAACTTTAAATTTAATTAAATTGAAAACAAAAAAATTTATAAAGAAATACTAATTCAAAATACTAATAAAAACTATAATAGTATATCAAATATACTAAAATAACACTGAAACAAATTGCAAAAATATTTGCAAACAAGTTTCCTGACCACTCCCCCTGTCTGCCATTGGTCAGAAATTAGATAGCCACGCCCCCACGCTCATGACATTGAGTCATTGTTGCTGGTCAGGATAATTAACAATGTTTTCATAGTAATTAAAATGTTTACCTTTGAATGATTTGTTTGTGATGTCTCTGCATATTAAGCTAGGTTAGCATCGAAAGTATTTTAATGTAAAAAAATTACCAGTTAAACAAATGCTCAGTATGGTTGTTGAAAACGCCTTTATCTTTTTTTTGTTTCAGTATTTTTTTTCCCTCAATGTCTTTTGTCACTTGCAGGTTGAGTTGCCGTTGCATGTGGAGCGGTTAGTGCAGTCTGTGAAGGCTTGTTGTACTTCTCTAGCAGCTGTTGAAACACCTGACATCACTGCTGCCCTAAACCAGCTGCCAGCTTGCCCCTGCAGACTACAGCCTAAAGTGCAAAAGGTAGTACCTTTGAACACTTTCTTAGTCACAAACATTACATGGGAAATGTTTTAGAAATCTGATAATCATATGTACATATTGCTGTTGGCTACTTTTCGTGTGAGCACAAACGCAGTGCTGCAAACCTGCATCTTTGGCTGCCTCTAGTTCCTCAAATGAGTAACAGACAATTCTCTGCTTTGCTTAAACCACTAACATTTTCACTTTTTAACTTATGTGTGCGTGTTTCTGTTTGCATTTATAGGATGTCAGTGTCTTGGCGAAGAGAGAAAACAGAGGTACGGTGATTCTGGTCATATTACTCTCTTTGACTTTTGTGTCAAACTGAAGCATACACTACCAGTGAAACATTTAGCCTTTATAAACCTCATCCTTATATATTATAATGCTTTTGGTCACTACATAATTCTCAAAACTTGTAACTTCCATTCACATAAATTCTTATGAATTCCATTTATTTCATAGTTTTGATGACTTCCAGGTTTTTTTTCTGAAGTTTACTTTTGCTTTATTTTATATTTATCAGTTTTGTAGTTAAGTCTTAAAGTCCATGAGGGTTGTTTTACATATAAATGCAATTTCTTATGTTAAGTTTTAGAGAATGTTTTACCATGCCTTTATTTTGCTACTTTACAAATGCCCTTTATAAATATATTTGATTGTTCCATCCTTGTTCGAGACTCAAACTTAATGTTAAATTATGAAAATCCATCTCAAACATGCAACATTTTAAAACTATCTAGTTAAAGATGCAAGTCAGTTAACTCAAGTGTGTTCAAACTTAACGGGGACATCGGATGCAAAATTCACTTTTACATGGTGTTTGCATATAAAAGTGTCTTAGCAGTGTGTGGACACAACCACCCTACAATGATAACAATCCATTCACTCCTTTTTAATCCCTAAAAAACCTAAACCGTCTCAATTATCAAGCCATTTTGATTTTCTTAGGCGCCGCCCACGACCACTGTATTACGACCACAATATTAGCATATTTCCGCCCTCAGCCAGTTGTACGCTGTCTGCCATTTTCTCTGCACTCAAGCTGCACAAAAACTTTTAATGTCCTTCTGTCAAGCTTTAATGTGAATTCGTACTGCTGCTCCATTCCGCATTCTGTGAACATAAAATGCGTAAGAAATGAAAAAGCTTCATGTAAGGGATAATGTACAGCGCAAAATCTAGTATTCCAGAGAGTGGTAATTGGTCATTCTTGGCATCAGAATTTGTATGTAAAAAACAGAACCATTTTTTTCCCCCTCCTTTCAGTGGCAATTGTGGAGAAGTTGACTGCAGCCATCTTGGATCTTGTGGAGTTGTACTGCAGCACTTTCGGAGTGGTAATTGGTCATTCTTGGCATCAGAATTTGTATGTAAAAAACAGAACCATTTTTTTTTTCCTCCTTTCAGTGGCAATTGTGGAGAAGTTGACTGCAGCCATCTTGGATCTTGTGGAGTTGTACTGCAGCACTTTCAATGCTAATTTCCACACTATGCCACAAAGCAGCAGATCCACAGCCCCCATACAGGAAGCTGGCATGGTCACCAACGTGCTTTCCTTCAGCGTTTATGCGGCTCATCGCATCCCTATCACATGGGCTGCCAGGTAGCGCTATCTTTCTTGTTTTGGTATAATCACCCTGTGAAATCAAGCATTCATTATACAGTAGTATTTGGGGGGGGGGGGGGGGGGGGG